AGTGAAGCCGCGGGTAAAAATTTAGTGGTTAGTTTAGTAGAGAGCAATGTAATGAAAATAGAGAAGAGAATCCTATACCTTTAAACGAGCAATTTTTGTATATATATACAGTACCCTGATGGTTTTTTTTAAAATTACATTTAGATACAAATTACATGAATAATATTTTTTGATCTTATTGACATAATAGAAAAAACTGAACTGGTTACTTGAATAAAAAATCATGAGTGCAATTAGTTTAATTAATATTTTCGTATTTTTAAAAAATACTAAAAAAAGGGCTCGAAATAATAGATTTTCTCACAAAAGAAGGGAACTTGAAAAAAAAACGAAAAAACTCCACTACTGAGCTATTAGGATCATTAACACAGTCTTTTTTGAAAGTCTTTTTCACAAAATTTAATGAAAATCTATGATTATATATATATATATATATATATAATCGGAATCTCGGAAACGGCTCCAACGATTTTCATAAAATTTTGTGTCCAGGGAGTTTCGGGGGCAATAAATCGATCTAGCTAGGATTTATTTTTAGAAAATGTTTTTTTGTCCGTGTTTTCAGGCAATGAATAACTATAAGAAGATAAATTTTGACATTCTGTTAATGGTCGTAATAGCTCAAGTGTATATCGAGCGGTCGTGAAATCGTAATGCCTTGGTTCGCGTCCTGGCTTTGGTCCGACTTTTTTTCCTTTTTTTTTTCAAGTTCTTCCCTTCTTTTGTGAGCCCTTTTTTAGTACATTTTAAAATACGAAAATTTTAATTAAACTAATTGCTTAAATTTTTTTAATTAAAACCGAGCAAAGCTCGCTCATTCAGGTACTGGAGATAATATTCCAACTGTGGAGGGTTGACACCAGTCAGATATGTCACGACCATCAATGACACACGAAGGTAGAAAGAAAACGATTCTACAGAAGTAGAGGTAAATTTGAGAATCTGTAGCATGGAAAGGTGGATATATAGGATTATTTACATTTTTTTATTATTTTAAGATGTTATCAAGAAAATGTTGCTGATGCCTTTAATAAACAAAAATTTGCAGTGTAGAGGCAACGTAAGAGAATCCACTTCCCTGTGGATTTCTCTGTAAATGATGATCCTGTGGATTTTTTTATAGAATAAGGGTGACAAACGAACAAACAATACACTTAACGGTAGGTAAAGATCTACGCATCTATATTTATCTATTAAGAAAAGATTAAGGATCAAAATGCAGATGCGTTGTTCCCCTTGAGGACTAGAAAGTAATGCCTCGTATCCTGTAAACGAGGGTCTTCGGTTCTCTACACTCAGGATACGAAAGACATCGGTATTAAGCTGCTATTTTACGCTGGTATCCTGTGAGAGCGTGGTCCATCCCCGTTCGAACTGACACATTCGTGCTACAAGTATAATATAGCTGCAGCGTGGCTCTACCAAGTATCTGCACCGCTGTAAAAAGCGACAGACGGAAACAGAAACAAGAAATGGGCAGTAGCTTGTACCTGATAATAACTCAATAGTAAAAAAGCTGCGATAGTAAACCTTCAGTAAAGCGTGGCAACTATGGCAACCACCGTTCCCTGCAAGAGAATTCAGAGGGGGAGCCTTTCTTTGTTTGTCCCGTATGTGTTCCATTATCATTCATCCGGTTACGATAAAGTTCCGGTGAGTTGCGCGCGCCGTGAACGCAATTCATCATCATCATCATCATCATCATTACAGCCCTTCACAAGTCCACTGCTGAACATAGGCCTCCCCCAAGTAATGCCACAAAGCACGGTCCTGAGCCACCTGCATCCATCGATTTCCTGCATGTCTTACCAGGTCGTCACTCCATCTAGTGGGGGGTCGCCCTACACTACGCCTACCGGTACGAGGGCTGCCACTCGAGAACCTTTCTTCCCCATCGGTTATCGGTTCTTCGAGCTATATGGCCGGCCCATTGCCACTTCAGCTTACTAATCCGTTGGGCTATGTCGGTCACTCTGGTTTTACTGCGGATATGTGCCGTGTAGTGGCGGTTAAGAATATCCACTACCCCATATCTTCCCGTGGGTGTCGTAAGAGGCGACAGAGGGAGACAGGCAGGAGATGGGCAGCAGCGTCTTCCTGATGACAACTGTGACGTAATAAAAAACTGCGGTTGCCAACCCGCTCGCCAAGCGTGGCAACTATGGCAAATACCCCCCAATGAATAAATACACAAACAGACGGCCCCCAGTCCCCGGCGGCCCCGCTATTCCTGGCTACGGTGGCGACCATGGTAACGGCGGGGCAGGGGGTGCTAAGAATCTCCGGTGGAGGTTCGGTTGCCACCTACGACGACTCGACCTGGCAACATATAACGCACGCACCCTGAGGACTGACGAGAAGATACTGGAGCTGGAAGAAGAGGTAGACAAGTTGCGCTGGCATATTATTGGATTATCCGAGGTCCGAAGAGAGGGGGAGGACACGGCAATCCTCGAGTCCGGCAACTTGTTCTATCACCGGGAGGGCGACCATCTGTCCCAAGGAGGTGTCGGATTTATCGTCCACAAATCTCTCGTCAACAACGTTGTAAAGATTGGGAGTGTGTCGACGAGGGTCGCGTACCTGATACTCAGAATCACCAAACGGTATTCGCTGAAGGTCATTCAGGTTTACGCACCAACCTCGACACATCCCGATGAGGAGGTGGAGGAAATGTATGAGGATATTTCCAGAGCCATACATTCCTCCAAAACCTACTACACGGTGTTGATGGGAGACTTCAACGCAAAACTGGGCACAAGAGAAAGCGGTGAGCTGAAGGTAGGGAAATTTGGAGTAGGGCAACGGAACCGAAGGGGCCAGCAGCTGGCCGACTTTATGGAGAAAGAGGGACTCTTTATGATGAACTCTTTCTTCCAGAAGCGGCCCCACAGGAAGTGGACCTGGTCGAGCCCCGACGGTTCGACAAAAAATGAGATTGACTTCATTATGACGACCAGACGCCAACTGTTCAGTGATGTCTCAGTGATCGCAAGGGTGAAAACTGGCAGCGATCACCGAATGGTTAGAGGCACACTGAACCTAAACGTTAAGTTGGAGAGGTCTCGTCTAATGAAGTCAACGCTCCGTCCCCCTCGTGCTCTAATCCAGAATCCCGAAACCTTTCAGCTCGAGTTACGTAACCGCTTCCAGTGCCTAGAAGATTGCAATGCAGTGGACGATATGAACGACAAGCTCGTGGAAACTGTCCATGCGGTCGGAGCTAAGTTCTGCAAGACCCGCCGCAGAAGAACACAAAAACTCTCCGATCACACTCTTAATCTCATGGCTGTTAGACGGGAGATGAGGCTGCAATCGTCAACAGATTTGACAGCATACAGGCAACTGAACAGACAGATCTCCAAATGCATACGGCGAGACTTACGCAACTTTAATACTTCTCGTATTAAAGAAGCGATCGAGCGGAACCAGGGCTCCAAAGTCTTTGCCAGAGATCTGTCTGCCAGAAAGAGCCAACTGTCAAAGCTGAAGACTGAGTGTGGCAACATCGTTTCCGGGACACCTGAGATTTTGAGTGAGATTGAGAGGTTCTATGGGCAGCTGTACACATCATCGTTGGAGCCACACGCAAGTGTGAGTAACGATCCAAGAGCAAGTCTTATCCGACACTATTCCGATGATATCCCGGACGTCAGTCTAAGCGAGATTAGAATGGCTCTCCAGCACCTTAAAAACGGCAGGGCCCCAGGCGAGGATGGAATTACAGCGGAGCTTCTGAAAGCGGGTGGAACACCGGTACTTGAAGTCCTTCAGAAGCTCTTCAATTCCGTCCTCCATGGTGGCACTACTCCAGAGGCGTGGAGCAGAAGTGCGGTGGTCTTGTTCTTTAAGAAAGGCGACAACGCTCTCTTAAAGAACTACAGACCGATTTCCCTTCTGAGCCGCGTCTACGTGCTGTTTTCGAGAGTCATTACGAATCGTCTCGCACGCAGACTTGACGACTTCCAGCCTCCCGAACAAGCCGGTTTCCGAAAAGGCTTCAGTACCATGGAACACATACATACCCTGCGGCAGATTGTACAGAAGACTGAAGAGTACAATCTGCCACTTTGCCTGGCGTATGTGGACTATGAGAAAGCCTTTGATTCCGTCGAAATTTGGGCGGTGCTACAGTCCCTTCAGCGGTGCCAAGTTGACTGTCGGTATATCGAAGTGCTGAAGTGTTTGTACAGTAGGGCTACGATGGCTATCCGAGTACAGAACCAGAGCTCGAAACCTATCCAACTGCAGAGAGGTGTAAGACAGGGTGACGTTATATCCCCGAAACTCTTCACCGCTGCATTGGAAGACGTTTTCAAGCTACTGGACTGGAAAGGATACGGTATTGACATCAATGGCGAGTACATCACTCACCTTCGATTTGCCGACGATATAGTCCTTATGGCAGAATCGCTGGAGGACTTAAGCACTATGCTCAATGACCTCAATAGTGCCTCCCAACGGATAGGTCTTAAGATGAACATGGACAAAACAAAGATCATGTTCAATGTCCATGTCACACCTATGCCGGTAGTTGTTGGGAGCACTATGCTCGAAGTTGTTGACGAATACGTTTACCTGGGACAAATAGTCCGACTAGGTAAGTCCAACTTCGACCGAGAGGTCAATCGACGGATTCAACTCGGCTGGGCAGCGTTCGGGAAATTACGGCATATCTTTTCGTCAGGTATACCTCAATCTCTAAAAACTAGATTGTACAACCAGTGCGTGTTGCCAGTGATGACTTACGGATCTGAGACGTGGTCCTTCACTGCTGGCCGTATGAGGACGCTTAAGGTCGCTCAGCGAGCTATGGAGAGGGCTATGCTCGGAGTTTCTCTGCGTGATAGATTCAGAAATGAGGATATCCGCAGTGAACGCAATTAGTGTATATCTATTATTTATTTACCAATTAGGTACAGTGCGCATAATTTAATCGCCTGATAGTCAGTTAATTATGTACCATACTAAAATAGTAATTACTTATATTATTTTAAATAATGAAACTACATGCATTAACAGGAGTATCATTGTTCATAACTGTTGTCTGGTTATTTGATCTACGTGTACCCTATATGGAGATATGGTGTTTTCCAGGTCATATGCCAGTTCGTTCAGACATATAAAAAGGCCACGCTGCAGCCAGTGGCGTAGCTTGGGGCTGGCCAGGGCCCCGGCAAAGCCCCGGGGCCCTCAAACTCAAGGGGCCCCTCGGTCTCCATAAACGACGTTAAAAAATTATATAATAAAATAGTTTAATAAATAATTTGTGACTTTTAACTTTTTGGCCCCTGACCAACAAACCTCGAACGCCTCGAACTGAAATCTCAAAAATTTCTTCTATTTATTATTATTACGATTAGGAAATACTAATAAATATTATCTGCTTTGTTGTATATACTACTTAGTAGTAAGTAGCTTTGCTTTATTTTGCCATGCAGTGTGCGATAAAGAGCTAATGATGAAGTAGAGTTTTACCTTATGTATTTACTATTTAGTTTAGTTCAAAAAGGGCCCTAATCTATTTTTGCCCCGGGGCCCTTGGTTAAATAGCTACGCCACTGGCTGCAGCTTTATATTATGATTGTAGCACGATATGTCGACTCGACTGGGGAAGGAACTTGCTCTCACAGAATACCAGCGTGAAATAGCAGCTTAGTACTGCTGTGTTTCGTATGGTGAGAGATCCGGGAACACTTTTTTACTGAAAACGAGGCATTCTATCTAAGTCCTCAGGAGTAACAACGCATCTGCGTTGTGATTCTAAGTAAAGTAAACTAAAGTTACAGCCTATATACGTCCCATTGCTGGGCACAGGCCTCCGCTCATTTCTGAGAGGGTTTTAGGGCTAGGAATTGTCCGCCACGCTGCCCCAATGCGTGTTGGCGAACTTCACACGTCTTCGAAATATTTTTTTCTTATTTCTCTGACATGCAGATAGATTTCCTCACAATGTTTTCCTTCGCCGCCGAACACATGGTAAATCAGCACTTAAAATTACAATTAACAATTTGATTGGTGCCGACGGAGATCGAACCCGGTTTACTCGCGTACTGTGAAATTTACAGCGAGCGCTAACTAGTCAAAAGTTTTGATTCTTAATCGAGAATAAATGTAAATGCCTATGGGCCACAGCATCCACTTACAATCAGGTGCACTGTGTGCACATTTGTCACCCTTATTCTATATTTTAAAAAACAGGGTATATCTGGGTATTTGTTCTGCGGGTACCATATAGGATATTCAGGATGTTTTGCCAGTTTGTTCAGACATATCATCAAGAGGCTTATAACTGGTATAGATTTGGAGAGCTGATACGAGAAACGTGATAAGTAGCAAGAGTTCTTCGAGTAATATCTTCGTATGATTTAAATCATCATCATCATCATTACTGCCTAATTAAGTCTACTGCTGAACATAGGTCACTCATAGATTGCCTCATAGGTGGCCAGGGTTGACCAAGCTGGCAGTCGGTAGGCAACCGCAGTTTAATTATTTTGACTTGGTATCAGAAAGGTGCTATGGCTAATGGTGATTAATATAGCGCATAGCGCCATATTATAGCGCGCTATCTCTTCATAACACATAGCGCGTGTTATGTAAGTAGTCGCCATGGCGCTATTGCGCTATCGCGCTTTGGCGCTATCAGGTATTAATAACTAGCGGCAATAGTTCTAGCAACAGCGCTGTTGGGAGAGGACGTGCGACGCAAATTTGATCTCGTAGCGCGCTATTCATCGCGCGCGACCTAATTTAATGTTAGAAGTTGTTTAGTTAGTGTGTACTGTATATTTATAAATGATCAAGGGACACAATTGTGATAAAAGAAGCCTAACTAATGTTTTTAAATATAAATAAAATATAGATACAAAAGTGTATATAATAGTGTATGTAAATAATTGATTTTTATAAATACAATTAATAAACTTTTAAATACACCTTTATTTGATTTATAATTTATATTACGGTTAAAATAATGCTTACATCAATTATAATAAAAAATAATTAATTTTATTTCGATTCTAAAAATAAAATTAATTCTATTTTAAATAGTACATAACTTAAAAATATTTTTAGGATTATAGAAATTAGTAAGCCTGAAAAGTATGAAAACGCGTGCATTGGTTTTTCTTTACCGCTTTATTTTATTTTAGTCTAAAATGCGACTTATTACGAAATAATGTTCTTATATAGCACGCGATCTATTCAATGAACGACGTGTAATGTAACGTGCTAAGAAATATAACGTGCTGTAAAACTTAACGCGCTTACCGGCCTCTTACACGCTTTCTTATAAATAGCGTGCTATAACATAGCGTATTTAATAGCGCGCTAGAAATTTATTGTTTATAGTCTGTAGCGTGCCATTGATTAATAGTCGTTTTGAACAACTTTAGCTATGGCTAATGGTGGTTAATATAGAGCATAGCGCCATATTATAGCGCGCTATCTGTCCATAACGCATAACGCGTGCTATGTAAGTAGTCGCCATGGCGCTATGGCGCTATGACGCTTTGGCGCTATTCATATCAAGCGGCAATTAGTTCCAGTAGCAGCGCTGTTGGGAGTAGACGTGAGACGCAAATTTAATCTAGCAGCACGCTATTCATTGCGCGCGAACCAATTTAGTGTTAGACGTTGTTTAATCATTGTATACTGTATATGTATAAGTGATCGAAAAACACAGTTGTCTGCTACAAAAGAAGCCTAACCAATGTTTCTAAATGTAAATAAAATATAGATACAACAGTGTATACAATAGTGTTTGTAAATAGTTGATTTTTGTATATATACAATTAATAAACTTTTAAATACACCTTTAATTGACTTATAATTTATATTAAGGTTAAAATAACATTTACATCAATTATAATAAAGAATGATTTATTTTATTTTGTTTTAAAAAGTACATGCCTTAAAATGTATTCAGGGTTATAGAAAGTCGTAAGCCTGCAAAGTATGAAAGAGCGTTCATTGATTTTTCTTTACCACTTTATTTTATTTTAATCTAAAATGCGACTTATTACGAAACAATGTTCTTATATAGCACCTGGTCTATCCAATGAACGACATGTAATGTAGCGTGCTCCGAGATATAGCGTGCTGCTAAACTTAACGCGCTTGCCGGCCTCCTACACGCTTTCTTATAAATAGCGCGCTATAAAATAGCGTATTTAATAGCGCGTTAGAAATTTATAGTTTATAGTCTGTAGCGTGTTATCGATTTATAGTCGTTTTGAACAAGTTTAGCTATGGTCCATCTCCTATTTCACCTCCCTCCGGCGCCTTTTACGATATCCATGAGACTATTACGACCTTGGACTTTGTTTGTCTCTGTCTCTGTCTTATTAAAATCCACCAGTATATGTATTAACCTACACTGGAGGATCTTTCTTACCGTCTGGAAAAAATACGGTGTGACAAGTGAACGGAATAGAAGCCTACGGCCCTGATATTTACATTTTTTTAACTTCCCGCTAAGAATTGAAAATTTTCAAAAATCGGAAGTTATTGTTTTTACCCCGTTTTTCGAAAATTGAGCTTTCATCAAATCTTTTTGAGGTCACAGTAGCGGGAAGTTCCAGGGATGACCTGTAGGGATAACAAATTTTTTCTTTGCATTATCATAATTTTATGAAATTGATCTATTAATAAATACTACTAATTGTAAGTAAACTTCCGATACTAAAAAAAATAAAAACAAAACTTTTGAACAAAATAAGTACTTAAAGCAATTAAAAACTATCGAAATATAAAATAATACGTACCCAATTGGTAGTATTTATTGATAGATCAATTTCATAATATGGTAATATAAAAGAAAAAAAATTGTAAAATATCAGTGCTTCATAGGCGTCTATTTCATTCACCCGTTACATCCTATTTTTTACCGGATGGTAAAAAAATCATTCAGTATAAAGAATATATTAATAGTAGAAGATATATGATTTTTCGTAACATAATCCGAGTAACAGGCTTAAGTATTAGCTTATTATTATCAACTGATTTCTGATGCAAGACTCTCGCAGTTATTAAGAGTTCACTGCACTCGTATAGTAGCGGTGTTAGAATATCCACTACCCCATATCTTCCCGTGGGTGTCGTAAGAGGCGACAGAGGGAGACAGGCAGGAGATGGGCAGCAGCATCTTCCTGATAACAACTGTGATATAATAAAAAAACTGCGGTTGCCAACCCGCTCGCCAAGCGTGGCAACTATGGCAATTATCCCCCCATGAATAACGAAAAAAAAACGGCCCCCAGTCCCCGGCGGCCCCGCTATTCCTGGCTACGGTGGCGACCATGGTAACGGCGGGGCAGGGGGTGCTAAGAATCACAGTAGGGCTACGATGGCTACCCGAGTACAGAACCAGAGTTCGAAACCTATCCAACTGCAGAGAGGTGTAAGACAGGGTGACGTTATATCCCCGAAACTCTTCACCGCTGCATTGCAAGACATTTTTAAGCTACTGGACTGGAACGGGTACGGTATTAATATCAAGAGCGAGTTCATTACTCACGTTCGATTTGCCGACGATATAGTCCTTATGGCAGAACCGCTGGGGGACCTAAGCAGTAAGCACTATGCTCAATAACCTCAATAGTGTCACCCAACGGATATGTCTTAAGATGAACATGGACAAAACAAAGATCGCGTTCAATGTCCATGCCAGTGGTTGTTGGGAGCACTAAGCTCGAAGTTGTTGACGAGTGCGTTTACCTGGAACAAATAGTCCAACTAGGTAAGTCCAACTTTGACCGAGAGGTTAATCAACGAATTCAACTCGGCTGGGCAGCGTTCGGGAAATTACGACACATCTTCTCGTCAGGTATACCTCAAAATCTGAAAACTAGATTGTACAACCAGTGCGTATTGCCAGTGATGACTTACGGATCTGAGACGTGGTCCTTCGCTGCTGGCCGTATGAGGACGCTCACGGTCGTTTAGCGAGCTATGGAGAGGGCTATGCTCGGGGTTTCTCTGCTTGTTAATTTAGAAATGAGGATATCCGCGGTACAACCAAAGTAACTGACATAACCCAACAAACGCTAAAGTGGCCATGAGCCGATGATATAGCTCGAAGAATCGACAACCGATGGTGAAAAAAGGTTCTCGAGTGGAAGCCTCGTACCGGTGGGCGTAATGTAGGGCGACCCCCCACTAGATTGAGTGACGACTATGTAAGACATGCGGGAAGTCGATGGATGCAGGTGGCTCAGGACCGTGCTTTGTGGCATACCTTGGGAGAGGCCTATGTTCAGCAGTGGACTTGTGAAGGGCTGTAATGATGATGATGAATTATTTTTAAAAGAATTATGGTGAAAGTTTGTGCAATAAAACATTATCAAAAGTTCTTTAAAATTTACTCGGCGCCACCCTTATATTAGCGCTTTCCTACGGACATTTTTGTGTTTAGTTTAGTTTAGTGAGCCGTGGTAGCTCAGATGGTTAGCGCTCGCTGTAAATTTCACAATACGCGAGAAAACCGGGTTCGATCCCCGCCGGCACCAATAAAATTGTTAATTGCAATTTTAAGTGCTGATTTACCACGTGCTCGGCGGTGAAGGAAAACATCGTGTGGAAACCTGCATGTCTGAGAAATAAGAAAAAAAATTCGAAGACATGTGAAGTTCGCCAACACGCATTGGGGCAGCGCGGCGGACTATTCCTTGCCCTAAAACCCTCTCAGAAATGAGAGGAGGCCTGTGCCCAGCAGTGGGATGTATATAGGCTGTAACTTTACTTTTTACTTTTTACGGACACTTTTTTATACAGAGTCGGTTCTCCTTACCTGTACACTCCATGACCCATGTACTAGAACAGATACCGCGATCAAATCTGTGTTGCCCTACATAGTATATAATTATCTATGCAGCAGTGCGGGGCGCTTGGGGCGCTTGGGGCGCTTGGATGGAGGCACAGGGTACAGATTTTAGCACAAAGTAAGTGTGAGCCCGCGGGCTCTAGCGCGTGTTGCATACGACCAAGTCTCGGCGTATTTTCTAGTACGTAGTGTAATAAATTACTTCAATAGTAAAATGTTTTTTTTTTAGTACAATATAGACTATTAATTATACTTACGTTCTTACGTTTGACTAGAGATTTAACATAATCAGAGACCATTTATTTTATAAGTTTTCTTTTTTGTATAAAAAAATATTCCAGTCTAGATCCCTTCTGGCATTATTCTCTATCTACACGTAAAGTTTCACCACAATTGGTTCAGCCGTCCCGAAGATTAGCCCAGGCAGGCAGACAGACAGAATATTTAACAAGGGTTATTTAAGTCTTAAAGATGAATAAAAGCCAGATAATTCAATAATACAGAGAAATACCTCAATTTTATTTATATGTTTACCACTGGTTCGGAAAATACCTTTGAACCAGCAAGGAACCCAGGGGGATATTTCATTTTTTGAGGACAGAACAGTTTTCACAAAGGAGGGTGATCTCTCGCATTCAAATGGATATCCGAGTTGCTGGATTTTTATAATAGATTTATAGTGACGAGCACAAATTCCATCTTATGGTAAGTGGATACTGTGATCCACAGACATCTACATTTATCCTCGATTAAGAATCTAAATGCATATGCGTTGCCACCCCTGACGACAAAGCTGATATTTTACGCTGGTATTTTGTGAGAGCGTGGTCCTACCACGGTCAAGCCGACCCATTCGTGCTACAACCATAATATACTCGTAGCTGCAGCGTGGCTCCACCACTTAAACAGGTTTTTAACAATCTTTTGCTGTCGCGCTGTGCCTGACCGACCGAGTTAGACAACCGAGAGAGACAGCTGCACCTCACTCACTGCAACAATTATGAAAAATGAACAATGTCACCATTCCGTATTCCCCTGTTTACAAAACTGGACAAATTTGAAAACAGAAACAGAAACTTTTTATTCAATGTAGATTATAAACAATACTTATTGAAAATCACTTTTTTCATTTACCACTGGTTCCCAAAAAAAACCTCTGTCCTGGGAAGAACCAGCAAGAAACCCAGCGGGACTGTTTTTTTTTTAATAGCTTACAATATGAGAAGGATGCAGCTACGAGTATGTCTGATTGTTTTTAACTTTTTATGTTCATTAAATTTATTCGCTTGATGTCTAATAAGGGGATTATAATTGGGCCGTTGTTGTAGTATTTGAAGAAAGTCCTAGTTTTAAAATAAAATAATTATTAAAAAAAACATTAGAACAAAGCAGTGATAGATATAAACTGTATCGGAAAAAATATTAGCTCAAGATGCATTGTCCAGGGAAAATATTTGTGTGGTATAGATTAAATGCTATTTAGGCATCCTTATAAGGAACGCGTGTGTGTTAAGTCGAGTGAGTGTTTATGCATTGACACTAGGTGCCCCTTCTTATCTCCTTTGTTATCATCTTAATATTTTATGACCGCTTCCGACAACATCATCTTCGCAATGAGAATCGACCGGTTTCTAAATCTGTTCATATTACTACTATTCATATATTCTAAAGTAACGCCTGATTGAAACATACTGTGGCTAACCTATAATTGAATGGAAAATATAACGCAGTCGGTAATTAAGCAAAATTGCAATCGATCCGAATTTCATTTTATGCATAATGCGACCAATAATGGTCCACGAAATTTTCTGGCACCAGGGCGGCGCCACTAAGGAATTAGTCTATTTGACAGATTTCATAGAGAAGATTTTAGTTTGTTAGAAAAGTGTAGAAAATAATTGTTTTTTTTCTGAATAATTTTTAAGTTAAGTTATACATTAATTAGATTAGAAAGCGCAAAATCAATTTATGTATGTTCCTAAAAGTAGAAGAATTATAGAATAATAATAAAAAGCTTAAAATGTGTTAAAACTTAATGAATACAGCACTGAGGCAACGTTTTTTTTTTGTAATATACCTACATTGAAATTACTGAGCGGAACGACCCTTGGTTGCTAATTGGGTAATTTTACCTTAGTCCCAAACTAGCGACGCTATTAAACTATCGAAATGCTTGGCCTAGTGATTACATAGTTTATGAAAATATTGTTATGCTATTGCTTCTAACAAGGCCTGGCTTCATGTAGTTTGTGACGCATGCTTACAATTTTTTTTTTCATATTTTTCATTCATGTCATTTTCATTTTATGATTTTTTAGTAGTAGAAAAATACATCTGGTTTGAGGTTGTAGGTTTAAGTTACATATCTAAAGTTTTAAAATCACAAAGGAATTAAATACATAATTAACAAACAAAAAATTTGTCGATATGAGGACATATAAAATCGAAAAATAAATACAAATAATTATACAGAGCAAAAAAGGGTTATACGCGACTTCACATTAATAAAGATTTGATTAAAGGTAGTTTTATTTTTGTGACAGTTTAATATGTTCTTTCATGTTTTTATTGTGTTTGTTAGAAGTAGTTCTAGTACTTTTATTAGTACTTTTATTATTCTATTTCTAAATGTAATACACGACGGTTAATTAACTATTCATTCAATTAACTGGCAATATGTAATTAATTATGTATTACATAATTGTAATCTAGTTGTTGAATGCAAGTTATAAAATAGTTAGGCAAAATAAATTCGTTAATACCTTGTAAACAAACAAATTTCTTCTGTAAAAATACACAATTATAATTTTTAAAAAATCAAAATTAAAATATGCATTCATATACCACTCACGACACCATACACATAAACCACTCAATAGTTAAGGTTATATGTATATTATAAATAATATCATTTCATTATTATTTCTATTATATAATATCAGAAAGTCTATTGAACAATTTAGTCGAAAAGCAACAAATAACTGAGAAGAGAGGCAGAGACGAAGAGACTACATTGGAATGTGTATTCATCAAAGTTATAAATTTAAATAAGTCAGTTAATTAGTAAGTTAATAAATAAAAGAAAGAAAACAAACTATACTTATATATTTTTATAAATATGCACGTTTAATTCAAAAAACACTCATACACATAAACGTACCGGCGTGCACGTAATACTACTGTTTGTCTTACATGCTTATTATTTAATAAAACACTTTAACTGACACTAGTTTTGTTTATTTTCACAGCCAGACCGAAACCGATTGGACCAATTGGAGCACCATTAGAACAAGAAGAAAGAACACCTGTTGCGCCGGACCCAATCCCACCAACAAAGCCACTAGAGCCTTTCAAACCTACAGAAGAGACGACTACTTTCCTTGATAACCCACCATTTCTACCACCTAAACCAATACCACACTCTCCAAAAATTTCTCCATCGTCAATACCTAATCCAAATCCTAGTGTAACTACTACGAAGCAAGTCGAACCAGGTTATCCTAATTACGGAGGATACCTTTACTCAATTCCTGGATACTCAGCGTTTCAACCCGTTTCTTACCCAGGCGTGGTCCAGCCATCCCAAACAGTGTTACCTCAAACAGAGCCTACCAGTTCCGAATTCGTATCCTTTCCAGTAATTTCAAATAAAGATTCAACACCACCGGTGAGCACTGAAGAAACAGTAACAGAGCGAAAAGCAGTTGAATCGCAGCCACAAATAGAAGCTCTCAAACCCCAAACAGATTTCGAAGAAAACTTTACTCCTACAATAATACCTGCAAACCCCATATCTGATGATTCTAAAAATCAAGTCAGTGAATCTAAAATGAATATAACATCACTTACTCAAGGCTCCGGGGCAACTGTTACAATACCAACGCAACATAAAGAAGTTAAGAAAAAATCGAATGAACGATTTAGTTTGAAAACTAGCATACCGATAAGCAAAATTGACATGAAATGCGTTGGCAACCCACCGGAAATATTCCAAGGTGTCATCAAAAAACCGCCTTTTAATCCTACATTTCAAAACTCGAAACTAGAAAACGGATCTAGGGTTGAAATTCAAAGCAACATTGTAATAAAAAGTGCCCCAAAAGAACCAGAAATCAAGGAAACAAACGTCAATCCTCCTTCAGCTGCTAACAGTATCAGCACTTTAATAAACGCGGCGGAAATCATAAATAAATCGGATAGTCAGTTTCAACAAAAACTTGATATTTCAACCGAGTCTAAGGAATCCCCATACATGCCTCAAGTGCCCATTCCATCGCCGCGGTCCATGTTCAACTCAAATATGGAAACTAACAAAACTAATTTTGTAAATAAGCCCTCTGATGGGACAATTAACGAGCAGAAAAATCAAATACTATTAATACAAAATAAAAACCCATCAAATCCAAAAATGCTCGTTACTATTCAACAGCAAAATCCTCAAGTCTTATTGCAGAGATCTGGTTATGACTCAAAAAACTTGCAAGCTCCTTCACGACTGTCCGGCCAAACAAAAAAATGTCAAGAAGAAATTCTCAATGATAATGGAACATCATCAAAAGTCGTTGCGTTAAAACGTTTACATCAGGAAAATTGTGATGAAAATGACTTTGAAAATTTGATCACCGAAAATCAAATTTACGGTAATAAGATTGTCGTGAAGGAAAAATCTCAAGGTACTCTACAGGAGCAAGACTTAAAGAATAAAAAACCTCTTGAAAAACCATCTCAACCAGAAGCAAAAAACGTCGTTCTGCAACCCAATTTCTTGTATTTAAGTAATGTTCAGTTTCCAGCGAATTTAATGATGATTAAAAACAATAAGATTAGTAACGACACAATTAAACTAAATAAAACTACAGCAAATGAAAATAAGCCCATTGATGTAATAACAACAACAAGTAACGCTGAATCTGCAATAAAAAATACAAAGCCACAACAATCTGTTGCAGTCAGTAAAGAAATCCATGTACTCAAATCAAGCAACAACGTTCTTCAGACACTTTCAAATAAAAATAAATCAGATCTAGTATTTCAAACATCAAATCAAAAAGTAATCATGAATTCTCAAATAGTTTATCAAGTGCCGATGATCGTAGAAACTGACAAAAAACTTAATCAAACTTTTGTTAATAGAGATTATTCCAAAGCAATCGGACCAAACAGGACCGAATTCCAGAAACCATATGATCAAACCAAAACTAACGATAAATTGTTTATTGCGTGTCCATACCAGATGGATTCAAAACTGCAACCAAAGATTGTAATTACTAACTTACGGCCAAAAATTGCAAAGTTTGAAGAAATTAGTTCAATAGACATCTACGAAAAAAAGAAACGTATGCGTAGAATGAAATATTTATCAAATCGAAAAGTAGAGGACGTGCAAAAACCAGAACATAAGAAAACTCAAGATTGCTTGAAGAATATTATAACTCCGGACAAAATGAAAGCCGAGATTTATAAAGAGCTTACAAATACGAGAGTAAAATTAGACAACGATACCACTGACGATGATAGTGATTATGATGAAGATGAACTGAATGAATATCATTCAATAATTAAGGAATATGGGACTACAAATGAAAGAAATGAAAATGAAAAGATAAACTTTCTCGCTGGTTTAAATTTAGCTTCGCAGAATGCTTATAAAGGTAAATTTATTTTAATTATTTGACGCTCAGTTAGTGATCATAATAATTGCCGTGTGGTGGCTGTGAAAGAAAATCTGTCACCTCTTTTGATCCCGTGGGTAAGAGACAACCATGGGAAATTCCAGAAAGATCATGGCATCCAGTAAATATCGGTTACCGTCTAGTATACGCTAGACGTCAAATATCTAGTCTGGCGATGGGAAGCAGTGGCAAAGGTGGGAGATGTCTGCTACTACAATCGTCAATGCAACTGCTACCCGCAACGATTAAAGAAAATTCTCCCTAAAACTGTGGAGGTCCATGTCAAGCAAACTTTTACGGGCTGATAATGATAATAAATGATAGTGATCATTCATAAAATAATTGAAACCTTGATTCGAATCCTAGTTGAAAAATGTATGCCTACTTTAAAACTTTATTAATTCTGATCATATTTTGAAATTTTCGTCATACTAGAATTCAGCTAGCCTAAAGGATAGGTTTTTGCCGAAAATAATAATATTTAATGTCAGTTTTCTTTCAGATTCACTTACATTCATTTCTGTCCCTCTGTCAGTTATTTTGTATAATAAGGCTATTTAAAAATGTATCCTATTTATTATAGATTTTACAATTTTGTAGAAAATTAATAACTGACCTTCAGTAATTATCTACCCACCTATAATTATAATGACCTGGTAGCTGAAGGGATATGCGCTTACCTTGAAATTTCCAAGTTAAATCCCCGTCGGCACCTCTTAAATTGTAAATTGTTAACTGCAATACTGAAATTGTTGCTTTACATTTACCACGTGCTTGGCAAAAAAAAGCCAACTTCGTAAAGAAAACTGTATGATTGGGAAATTAAAATACGTTTCGTTATATATGCCAATATATAACGAAACGTATTTATAAACGTATTTATATGGGAGCAGGATCTTTGACGCTTCCCTCATGAATAAGAGGAGACCGGTGTCAAGCAGGATGTAGTGCATAATTATACTGACTATTCAAAACCTTCTTAATCAAAAAAAAGTAGATTTACTGCGGCTTGGTAGTAGATTATATTATGAGAGTATACTTTGGAGTAATCCATCTAAATCGTTGGGGAGTAATAACGAATCCGGAGATTCTTTATTTGAAGTTGCTCGAAGGCCATTTGCTGAATTAGCTACATCAACCTCAGACGGACTGGTCACTTTATTGTAACTGTTATTATTAAAAATGTCAAATCATGTACCGGTAATAGATATAAATCTAACTTCTGATATTTTAAGCGACTTTCAATAGCCGTTTTAAATTCCAGAAAAAGAGTTCGAACGCATGGAGAGGATCTTAAGAAGTGATTCTATAGCCGCCGCCTACATTTCTGCAGGAAGACTGGACCGAATATTTAACGATGACAACCAACCTGCAGCTAAATTAGCAAAAAATTCATTTCTATTATCAGAGACGCGTGTCAATGTAAATACAGATGAAAACGAGATGGCACATCAACGGAAACAGATATTCCTTTCCCATCTAAGCCTGATGCAGGTCACTCAAAAGTACAAAGAAGGTTTGTTATGTTTTATTTCATCTTTAATGCCTTTTTTCGCATTTTAGTTCGCCGCTTTCATTTTGGTAGTTTGGTCAAAATCGACATGTTTGGCAAGCAGTTTTGCAATCTATTACATCGTGTAACCTACGCCTGCCAATCTGAATTAGTGCTGCTCGAAACCAGTCTTGGTCTTGTTCTTGTATTTTTGCAAGACCAAGACCGCCTAATTTTAGCAAGACCAAGAACTAGACTGACCGTGCTAGATTTGAGCAAGAACAAGACTACATAAGCCTGCGAGACTCTTGCGTCTTGCAGTTAGGACTGAGTGTCGTTTCAGGGAGTATAGGAGTTCGGTTATACGCTAAGGCACTCGATGAGATGCAAAAAAAATATATAAAAAATTTGGAAAATTGAAATTATGCGCATTGCGAACAATACCATAAATATACTTACATAGGGAATGAAAATATCCATTAAAAGAAAAAAGAGTAAATCCCTAGTTTTGACCATCGGCACTTTGATAATGCGTGGCTTCTTGTTGTCGGCATCATCAAAGGTCAAATACTTACTTGTCAAAGAAATTTTGCACCTATCCAAGAGTACAAGGTCAAGATACACGTGCCGGCAATTTCTATTAGTATCGAATACAATCGTCGCCGCCGCGCCGAACGCACAACATTTGACATTGACACTGTTTTATTGCCCCACAGAGTACATATTCCAAAGATATTTATATAGACATTCATATACATATTCATAAGACACGTATACAGATCTCGAAAGGAATATTGTAATTAGACAATGGTAAGGATAGGTAGATATCATAATTATTTATTCTAGTAAGTAATTATTACAATATTAACTATATAGGCTTATAATAATTACTTACTAATATTATTTTTTAGATATCTATATAGTTTTCTCATCTGCTTGGGTTCCATAAATATATAATTGTGAATGAGAAACAATAAATATACATAAATATCAATGAAATAAAATAAATAGTTAAAAATACATGAATAAATAAAAGCCCAACCAGATAGAAGCCTTCAACAGGGAAGACCAAACGGCCGAGGGTTAGGGGGAAACGGAAAGAAACCGGTGAACCATGTGTGCGGTATCGAGGAGCACCGCCTTCTGCATTTAAGCCAGGAGCGGGTCCAGTCGCCTCAGATGACCCGAGAGGCAGACTGGGATTAACCTATTCGCAGAGACGACTACAGGAATAATTTCGGTCGGCAGTCCACCCCACATGTCGGTCACGTCGTAAGCCAGGTCCAGATATTTAATTTTCTTTTCTGATTCGGCTTTCACTAGGTTATCATCATATGGAATGGTAATGTCGACCAAAAATATCCTTGACTGTGCCCGGTCCATTAGCACAATATCAGGCTTATTCCCAAGAATAGTCCTGTTTGTGATGATGGCCCGGTCCCAGTAGAGCCTGGCGCGATCATTTTGAACACGGCTTCCGGCAAGTACTTATAATAAAGCAGTTTCTGATCCACGAGACTGTATTTCAGCGCGAGCTCCTGGTGTAGAATCCTGGCTACTATGTTGTGCCTGTGCAAGTACTCAGAGTCAGAAAGCGCCGAACAACCAGAGATTACATGCCTAAGTGACTCACCGGGATGGCGACAAGCTCGACAGAAGTCGACGGTGCCTCTTTAGGATGCATCTCTAATAGTTGTTGGTATTAATAACCTGATCCTGCATTGCATAGACAAAACCTTCGGTTTCCCCGAAGAAGTCACCGAAACGTAGCCAGTTGAGGGAGGCGACTGTATCTACGAAAGGCTCATGCAGAGTCTTGTAGAACCTCCCGTGGAGCTCCTTCTCTCTCCATACGGTCTCCCGGGCAGAAATACTATCTACTGCCGGGTCCTGCCATTGCTCTTTAGCTAAGGATAGAGGGGTAAGCCCTTTATCACAATAAATGACGTCACTATAGAATGGATCATTAGATCTCCCCAAGATGTAATTACGGAGGCTACACACTTCGCGATTATGAATCGTGAGCGCGCTTAAAAAGCCACGTCCACCATGCTTTCGAGGCAAGTACACCTTACCGATGATTTCGGATGATGCATTCTATGGGACGTCATGGTAGTGCGGACTTTTCTATCCAGGGCGTTAAGCTCAGTCTGAGTCTACCTGAGTATGCCAAAGGTATACATGAGTACAGGCATGACCCAACCGTTATATGCGCGTGTCTTATTCACACCGGACAAAAGGCTGTTAAGCACTTTGGTCAAGCGTGCATAAACACGTCACAAACTGACTGTTTTATATCCACCTCATCGATACCGATGTTCTATTATTATTATATGAATTCTTTATGTTTCTACTCTTTTTTGAGAGTATAAAACAATACACACACGGGCCGGAGCCAAGTGTGTGAGGGAAATTTAAATTGTAAAAGTAGATGATAGAGTATAACTTTTGGCTGATGTGACAAGAGTAGTTACGTTGTACCAGTTCTGGCGCACTGAGTCAGAAGTGGTACAAGTACGACGTTCGTCGACTCACGATCCAAAAAAAAAAAAGTTTTGGCATGCTCTGATCACGAATCCATTTTTGCGTATGATGCACGGTTCCGGAGATGTGCAGATCAATTAACTCTTATCTAATTGATATCCGGTGAAGGCCTCCACCGTCATTAGCGCTCCATTGTTCTTATCTACTTATCTATTGTTCATTCAATACCGTCATTATCTATTCTTCCTCAGCGTGGTGCTATTGTATTATACTCCTTTGTTCCTATCTACACTAATATGACACATCAATAAAACACATTACCTAATTTTGTTAAAATTTTTATTTACAAAATACAAAATCTTATTACTTATTATCTATAAAATAGGAGCGAAACATCTCATCCACTAAAATATCGTTGTACAATGTGTTCCCTGTAAATATACTCGTAAAACTATGCATTGAACATCCCTGAAAATTATATAGCAAATATATTAAGCAATATTCGCCACAAACTGAAGTCCACTCATTCCGAATTCTATCAACATTCCAGTTCCATCTTTTACAATTTTTTTTTAAAAACTCTAGATGATATCGTACAGGTGCACGTCCGAATGAATCAAAATATTGACTGACGTCATTCGTATCGATATATAAAGCTACCCAATGTGACCCTGGTTTATCATCTGTATCCAAATTGCATATTATATACGTTGGTACGTGGGTGTACATAGGTAGTTTATTGGCAGCATAAACATTATTTTCTAGAGTGGGGTGAATCTTTTTCAGATGTTGTTGTACATCTAGTGTATCCATGATATTACTGCTATTAGTAGATTATTACAGTACCAATCTACTAAATGACTAACATAGGAATGATCAATTATAGTGATTTCTAAATATTAAATTGCATTATTTTGTGTTATACAAAACGTATTTGAGTCATCAATACACTGAACAAGACGCGACACGAAGTAATGTTGAGATAAGCAACAAAATGTGAGATAAGCTTGTTGATGCATAAAGTTACTATCAATTCCACTGCAGAAATTCTTTAGATTAGAATTATTACTTACTGGTACTATATAAGACCAAGAAAGTGCAGTCATGGAGTTAGTGTATGGTCGTTTGACCGCAGTGGATCTATCAATACTACATTTGTGTTACTTCAACGCATCAAAGGCCATATATGTAAGTGTTTATTCTATTGACAAACTTACTTTTCTTTCTGTTATTTTCTTGCGTGTGTATGATTTAGTGTTAACAAATTATATTTAAATATTGTGTGTGAATATTAAGCCGTGGTAGCTCAGATGGTTAGCGCAAGCTGTAAATTTCACAGTACCCGGGTTCGACCTCCGCCGGCACCAATTAAATTGATAATTGCAATTTTAAGTGTCCATTCTATTGACAAACTTACTTTTCTTTCTGTTATTTTCTTACGTGTGTATGATTTAGTGTTAACAAATTATATTTAAATATTGTGTGTGTACCGCATCTACGAATACTAGAGTAGTTAAAAAATACTTTTTTAACAATGACAGTCATTAGTTGATCATTAGTGAATGTGATTCTGTTTACTTAAATTACAGGAAGACAAGAGCAGAAGGAAGAAATGGGATGATGGGAAGTAATGAAGCATTGTTATGTGAAGTTTGTTGGAACAAACATATTTTTAGTCACGTGTAAATACTTTTAACATTTTGGTTCAAAATGACACAAAATCTAAAAAATATTAGATACATCATCGACATGGACTGATTTTACATTACATATCCTCATAAACATTTTCAATGTAGAGAAATGGCTATTCTAGACGTAAAACTATCTAATAAAAATGATGCGTTTATCGATCATTATTTGTTTCGGCCAAGTTATCCTTTCAATTATTTGTCACCAAAAGACAAAATAACTGTTCGTTATTGCGAAACACACGTGCACGGCATTCCATATTTTGATGTGACCGAAGAATTAAAATGTGCTTACAAACAAGAGAACATCATCCCCATATTAAATTGGTATATTAGAAATTTGTGCAAAGACGAAGTGATCGCATACAAAGGTGGTTCAACAGAAAAACAATTTTTAAAAATGTTGACGACGAATGATAGAATTTTTAATATTGAAGATTACAAATGTCCAAAATACAATGATTTGGTAAATGTCATAAATTTAAACAAACGTATGTGTGTAATAATCATATATTTGCAAAAAAATAATCGCAAAATTTTACATTGTTCTTGTGACGAAGTGTGGGTTTTTAAAGTGGTTATTGCTTGAAAATAAAATTTTCAATTAATCATAATTTTTTATTTCCCAAAAACATTAGTTATAGTACACAATATATATTAGTTTTTTTACACCAACACTTTCATTTTTTATTTCACCCCTTAGAACTTTAGACGTGTTTTATACATCCGTTACTGCTATTGTGGCAGGACCAAGTGGATGTGGGAAGTCAAATTTTGTAACAAATTTCATAAAATCAGTTACAGAAATATGTAATTGTGATTTTAATCAGATCACATGGTGCTTTGATGAAA